GTGGTAATGTATTATACAATATAAAAAGTTAATGTAATATTTTAATTTAATTAGTAGGACTGTGTATAACGTGTCTATATTAGTTACCTACAACTGCTATAACAATTGCCATAAATTTAGTGGCTAAAATCTAAGTTGAATGTATTCTTTTATATTTCTGGAGGTCAGAAGTTCAAAATCAGATTCTCTGTGTTGAAGTTAAACTATCAGCATGGCTGCTTCCTTGTGAATGCTCTGAAGGGGACTTGGCTCTTGCATCTTTCCTCTTCTTGTGTTTCTTGGCTTCCTCCATCTGTATTGGCTATAACCTGTGTTTACATTACTCCACTGTGATTGTGCCAAGACGACTAGGTCATCTAGGCTGTTTTCACCTCTCAAGATGTCTAACTTAATCATATATTTGAGTTCCCTTTTGGATCTAAGGTGACATTCATAAATAGTGAGGATTAAGCCTGGGCTTTTTTGAAGGAATATTATCCATCCTGTCACAATTGCTAGTTCTTAAAAGTTCACCATCATTTCATATTTGAAACATGCCACTCCATCTTGAAGTCCCCTAAGTCAATCCACTGCACTGATATACTGCTAGGTATACTCTAGGTAGCTGGTATGGTTTGAATATGGACAATGTCCCCCAAAGGCTTGTTCTCTAGGAGGGCACTGCTGGGAGTTCTGAGGACTTTTAGGAAGTAGAGTATCATGTGAGATCCTTAAGTCATTGAGGAGTGCTCTGGAGGGACCTATAGGACCCACCTCTCTTCTCTCAGTAAATTTTTTTCTGGCTCAAGGTGTGAACAGTTTGTTCTGACGTATACCCTTACTCTCCAGCACTACTACCAGAGGTCCAAAACAATGGATCCAAACTTGGACTGGCGTGTTCAAAACTGTGAGCTAAATGGATCTTGTTCTAAGTTCATTGTTGCAGGTATTTCATTGAAGTAATACAAAGCTGACTAAAACAGTAGTAATGACAGTGATGAAGGGAAACTCTGAGCCCTCTCCCTCTTGTGATGAGTGGCACTCCAGTTCTCAGTTGAGACTGCATTGGTAGGTAAGCTTGTTGACATATATCTATCCAATACTCTGGGGGCTTTCTCTCCAGTTTTCTTAGAAAGCAAAAGTGTGGCCTAAGCAGTCTTGTTCTGAATGTCTATTTGTAACTCCTTAGAGGGTTGCTGAGAATCATTTATGCCTACTCCTTGAGGGTCTATACTTAGACTTTCCTAATGCTCCTTATGCACCAGGCTTTTATACATTGATTTCTGTGCAAGGCTTTGCCTCTCTGCTATTCTTTGCAAAATAGTGAATACTTAGGAGAAACAAGAGTGTCATGTCAAGTCAAAGCACACTGTGTGTAACTGGAATATGAAGAAACCGTGGTTTCTTAAATTTATTTACAAATACTCAAATGTGCAATGATTGCTCACTGAAAAAATTCATTAGTAAAATAATGCTGTTTGCTCAGCAAAAGTAATAGAATGTGTTGCCAAGTGTGGTGGCACACACCGTTAATCCCAGCACTCAGGAGGCAGAGGCAGGCGGATTACTGTGAGTTTGAGGCCAGCCTGGTCTACATAGTGAGTTCCAGGCCATCTGGGGCTACAGGGAGACCCTTCAAACAAAGCAAAACAAAACAAAACAAAACAAAGCAAAACAAAACAATACAAACAAGAAAAGAAACAAACAAAACCCCCAGAGTCATAGAATATGATAAAGCTAGTATACCTTCTGCTTTGACAGAATCTCAGTGTATTCCAGAATGCAAAATCAGAATACTTACGGAGGTGTGAATTCTATTTCAAGATGGGCTCTTCAAAATGAGGCTTCGTTAGGACTAGGTAGGATTCAAGTTGTAGTAGCTCAGGACTGGTGAACAGAGCAATGCAAAGGTTTAGAGGCAAAAGTTCAAAGAATCTCGGTGAGCAAACAAATATTTCAGTTGCTTGGTGCTGTCTATTGAAGAACTGGGCAGTTTAATGTTAATTAAAGTGGCTTTAATAGAAAGCTTCTGAACTAAATAATAAAATTCTTTGCAATTTTTATCTCCCTAGGGAATACTTTCCTGATGTATGAGGTTATGTTGATGAAGATAGTGGCGTAATGAACATGGACGAGACCTGCGTGAACACAGGTGGTCTGCTTTTTACAACATCTTTTGAGCACATACTCAGAAATAGTAGGAACATAATGGCAGACAGAAGGGAGGTGAAGGTGAGAGTCCACTGAGGGGATAGCTTCACAATTACAGGTGACTCTGAAAAATGTAATGTTGAAGGATAAAAAGAAAAAAAAAGGGACCAATAAGCAAATACTGGTGGTGCAATGGGCAGAATTTCAAAAAGGAATTCCTGAGAATTTGAATTTGGGTTTGAATGCCAGGCCTCTGTTGACTTATTCTTTTCATAATTCTAGGTAGCTCTGCTTCCCCTGACACTGAATTTGTGAAATAAGAATCCTTTTTGCCCAGCACACCCAAGACCCTGGGGCTGAAGCCCCAGTACTGAAAAAAGAATGTGTGCAGTACACCGCAAGTTTTTAAATGTTAAAAAAAAAACCATCAGGGAAGCGAGCATAGACATGCATAGAAATCAGAGAGAGGAAAGGAGAGGGGATTGTGATTTGCAAGGGAGGCTCCAGTTATTTGGGGATGCCAGTGATGTTCCGTTCCTTTATCTATGTTTTTAATTATACAAGTATTGGCTTCAGGACTATTTTAAGCTGTACATATGCATCTTTCAGTTTTAATGTTTGTATTTCACAATAAAAATATGACATAGCCAGTATAGTGTGCGATCATGTGATAAGTGCTGTGGCAGAAAGAGCTGGAAGACCAGTGGAAACTACACAGTATTTTATGGCAGATTGAAAGTCAATGTGGAAGGTAAAAATGTGCTTTTGGTCAAAATTTTTTAAAACCTAGTAAGATAATGTATCATAATTTCATATATCCTAAAGCATCTCTTACTAAATTCAATAAAATGCATAGAATTGAATTTGTACAATTTTAAGGTATACGTGACATGGTTCCCCTAAATTCTCTGCTGTCATATCTCCAGTAAGAGATTATGGTAAACTTGGTTAGGATGATGTCACTGAACCTTGAGAAAGATTAATGGGTATTAGTGATACTTCAGAAATGGATATAATTGGAGATAAAATATTAAACATATTAAATATTAAACATATTAGGTCAGTGTCTGGAAGACAAAGGTTTCCTCATATTTGTGGATCCTAGATTTTATGCAGACACTATGTGTGGCGTGAAAATAGAAGGAAAACCATCTAGGGGAAGAAAGGGGACTTGTGCAAGGGAAGGAGTGTGAGGGAAGGTAATGGGATGGGTCAACACACAATACACACTTGTCTGAAAATATCTTTATGTAACACACTACCATGCACAATGAATATATACCAATAAAAAGTTTAAAAAGAAAACTACATGTGGATTTGTCTATTTCCTTTTGAGACTAATACAGGGATTCTGAACTTTATAGGAATTCCTTGGACATGCTGACTTCATCTACTTTTGTAAATTGAAGTAGAGCATCGTTCTAAAGCATTTGGTTAGCTCCAACACTGAATCTTTTACGCAAATCCCAGGTACCGAATCAACCATTTTCATCTAGAATATCCACAATGAACAAAAAGGAAAGTGAAAAGTGGAATCCATGTTTCCAAAGTCAGGGACTTATCATCCAGCCGTGGTAGATTTTTAGTGAGTCTCACTTGACTCTGTACTGGAGAGGACCTGGAGGATTAAATCATTACAGCAGAAGCTTCATGGTACCTAAGTTGGTACCAATGAAATCTCCTTGCTGAAAGATTCAGGCAGCTAATGTCTGGATCTTGGCAGTGCCTTGGATTAAAAGGGGCCATTTTTAATGCTACTAGCTGGAATTGAGAACTTTAAATACTTTCAAGTTAGAAGAATGTCCAACAGGCACAAGACCATCAACAACAAATCTAGACGAGGGGGAAGGATTCAGTGACATAACCCAGCCATTCCTTCTCTGGTCACACAGGAAGGAAAAGAGGAAGAAAAAGAAGGAGGAAGAAGTGCGGGGAGAGGAAGGAGGAGACGGGAGGAGGAGGAGCAGGAGGAGATGATAGAGGACGTTGAAGAGGTAGAGGAGAGATTAAGGTTGACATTAGAACTGGGGCAGTGAAGAGATCTTTATTTGTTGGTTGTTTTTTTTTTTTTTAAAGTCAATGAACAATTTTGCTGGCCTTGTTGTCCTAATGTCTGGAGTTCAAGAATTCTTTGAGAGCCTGTACCCTGCCGTTGTAGTCAGGAGCCCAGAAGCTGCAGTGGGTGGAGGCAGGCAGAAGCAGGGCCTCTCAGATAATGTTTCCAGGTCTAACAAGTGAATGTGGATCAGCCAGTTAACGTTAAATTCACATAAACAAAAAATAATTTTCAAATATAATTGTTTCAAATTTTGTGTGATGACTTTTACCTGTTCGCCCTGCTCAGAGAAACCTTTTCCATCCTGCTTTCCTTCTACCATCACTCCACCCCCAGCTAATCCAAAGGGCTCTGAATTGTGTGTATGCCCATCTTAGCAAATCCTCTCTAAACTCTTAATTTAAAAAAAAAAAATTCTAACGGGTGATGCGGTTTCCAAGTTTGTAGGCTATTTGGAAACTTAGTAAGGGGTAGGAAACCATCAGAGACAGCATTGTAACATGAACAATAGTGATTGCTCAGCATCAAGAGAATAAAACAAATAATTTTAAAAATCAGACATTGAAGTTACCTACCACAAAATAAGAGTCAGTTACTTTTATCTTCCCAAGTGTACTGCCTTACTGTAATCCCCAGTGTCACTGTTGCTTTGTATGAAGATCCTGGGACATCAAGGAGCCAAATCTGTGTTTGGGATATTATTTAATAGTTTTATTTTATTGTTTTTGGAAGTAATAACAGAATAAATTATAATTAAATAAATACTGTCTAAAAAGATAGAGTAGCCATGTGGCTGGATGTGCCTCATTCCTGCATCATCTTTTCATGTGTGTGTGCATCAAAACCCTACTGAACAACAAGTTCAGGGTTGCAAAAGGAGATTTTTTTTTTACACCTGTCTTTCATGCCTTTGTCCACCAGTTGGGCAAACACACAAGTCCTCCCTTTTATTTAAATTTTAAGGGGGCTTTTGTAATTTTAATAAAACATTTAAAGCCTAATTGATAGTTAACATTCAGTTTCTGCTTTAAAATCTTAAGCTGCTTAACTATTGCTTTGATTTATTTAATCTTTACACTTATTTTTCTTTAACTTAAAAAAAAAAAACTTTAGTACCATGTGCCATGTAAATAAAGCTTGGGCAAAGACCAAATGTTCTCAGATAAACCTTGCCTAGACATATATTATATTCCTTGATCTAGTATGTATAATTTGTCAGTGGGTTGTTGGGCTAATATTGTTCCCTCTGATTTTCTAAAACTAGCTAGGCATTATTTATCTCTCGCATTGTCTAACCCTTCCACCATGATGACAGAATATATGGGCTCCAGTGGGTGAGGGTCTATGGGAGGGTGCCATTTGTGAAGTGCATATGTAGACTAATAAGATTGCTTGGGATGTTCTGTATGATACACACACAAAAAAATCAACAAATTAAATAAATGAGTTATATTTGAGGCAGAAGCATAAAAAATTTACTTCACGTTAATTAGTAGAGGTGCTAAACATTACCATTGAAATCTACCTGATGACTTTACATCCACACTCAGGTGCCAAGGATCCAAGTGTAACCGACTGTGACTAGTAATCATCAGATACATAGAGATTGGAGATGCATGTGCCAACATCTAAGTGTTAGTAGCAAAAACAATGAGTCCTTCTGTAGGAAACAGTATATTTTAAAATGAAATAGAGATCTTGTTAAAGGTTAAAAACTCATTCAATTTTATGTCTTACAGGGTTCACTATTGTATAACTGTATTAATTTAACTGTGAACTTAAAAATTTACAGCCACTTTTGAAAGAGATGTAGTTTTGCTTTGGAAATTGTTATTGAATATGTTAAAGCTGTAATGAAATGCTTCTTCTAATCATGTGGTTATTAAATAAAAAAGATTTTAAAAAAGATAGAGTAATGACAGTTTGGGTGTTTAATAAAAAGAAACCCTTCCATGTGTGGGAAACATAACAATCTAGAACAAATTGTTTCCTGAGACTTCCAAACTGTAGACATTTTTCTCTGATTACTTCTATTACTGGTATGTATCAGGTGAGTATGTTAACTGAGCTGAAATGATATGAATACTTGCCTTAATGTCTTATTTTCTTTGGAGACCTCATTCTATCCAAACAATTAGCCTTTGAGATCATAATTTCAAATGACTCAAGTCATACCTGTTGCTTTAAGTAAGAGTTTAACAAGTTTTAGAAAGCCTGGAATTCAGAAACCTTGTCTGAGCTGTTTGGCTGGTGGCAGGGAGGATGGGACCATGGGCTATTTTCATTTCCAAAAGAATATGTCTTTACAAAGGGACTGGCTTCTAGGAGGTTTTCTTTTGTTTTTTTAAACAATGAACTTTTCCTGAACAAAAACACATTTAATTAATGCCCATGTTCTATAAATCTTTATGCCTTCATTTTGCAAAGAAAGATAAATATGTCACAAAGCTGAGCTGTACAGATGGACAGAATTCTCTTAAAGTAGGTCTTTAAAAAGTGGAATATAGATATAGACACAGTGAGACAGTCAAGTGTCAAAAGAAATCTGTCAGCTTTTTAGCGGTTGAATAATTCAGAAGATGCACCGTAAGCCAACTTCTTAATTTCCTTCCCCCTTTTTAATTCTTTCCTCTTCATCCTGTGATCTTTCCTCCCTCGCCCTCAAAGCTATTTGTTGCTGAGATGCCCTGGAAAGCAGGTGGTCTTCCTTATATGACAGCATCTGCTGCTTGAAATGAGAGGGGGAAGATCTAAAGGCAAAGGCAATGAATCCGGCAGCCCTGTAAATGCCTTTTAAAAAATAGCCTGGATTTTAGTTCTTTTTTGTTGAATCAACTGGAACACTTTTATTGTTTGCAATAAAACAAATTGTCTAAAGGCAATAGTCCTTCCATTTGTATTTCTGATTCGTGGATTTGTTTCTTTCCATTTATTTGGCCCAGGTTTTTTCCCTAGTATTTTACAAATGGTGTGGGTGGCTGTAAAGGCTCTGAAAGTTTTCTTTAAGCCGTTTGTTAATAACATCCTCTCAGCACTGACTCCAGCCTTTATAGTTGTGATTGTTAGTAGGGCTTCAAGCACAGTGCCACATTTTCATTCTTCTAGCCCTAGAGGAAAGAACTCCCAGAAGGACTTTTGACTGGCTTTTATTATCACCCAGAAACAAGGAATCAGAATGCTTAAGCTGGAAGGCTGAACATTTTAAAAATATTTAAACTCGAAACGATAGTGTGGTATAGCAGCAAGAACAAGAACCCCAGGCTCAGATGGTCTGAACTCAGATCCCAGCTGTGCCACTCACTGTGTGGCACTGGTCATGTTAGGTTTCACACTTTAGGTACTTGCCTGCGTGTAGACATAATGCATAAGGTCACTTGTTTTACAAGTAGGAAAGAGTTCTGAACCTCAGTTTCCGCAAGCGGATATATGAATACACACACCACCAGGATGCAGGAGGGCCTGAATGACAACGCTTGCTTTGTAAACCCCTTAAATGTTAGATTTTACTGGAGAACAATTCACATATCCCGCTGTCTCTCTGCCCAGCCCACATAAGCCCACATAAACATACATGTGCACCTCTGTGACAGTAAGACTACAGTTCTCCTTGTAAACCCCTGCCAGTCACAGGGGGAACCTCGGTAAGACAGGACCTGTCCCAGCCTGTCAAACGGCTGCAGTGAACTTTGACTCATGAATAACACCTTTTGTCTCAGTCTGGAGACTGCTGCAGGCAGGACCTAACTCAGACTCACTCTTGGCAGCTTGTGCATGAAGAGGAAGTAGGGGACCCAGTTTGGCAGCAGGCATTTTCCTTTTGAACCCCTGCCCATTTTGACCTTTTTTCTGGTTTACCCCAAAGCTACAGAATGTGATCGTACTCCGAGGACTCAGTGTTTGAAGCACAAATGGCATCGCACCTTCCTGGAATAACAGAAACTGCCAGGGACAAAAGCCGTTTGCCAACATTGTGTTTCCTGTTCTCACTTCCCCGACCTCTCTTCCTTTCTCCTCTAGGTTGGTGTCTCCTCGATCCAGACTGATTGGCCAGCAGTGGGACTTCCACATCTTCATGGAATCATGTGGTCATTGTGTACCTTTTGCTTCGGTCTCCTGGCTCTTTCTGTTTTCTATTTTTGGGTTCAGTGCCAGGTACTTGAAATGTCAGTTGGCCAAGAGAAGCTCACCACCCCCCCCCGCCCACCCCCCAGAAATCTAATGTGGGATTATATCTTAAGCCAGAAAGGATCGATACCAAACTGATCAATTAGGCTTGTGTTTACATTTCCAAGGGAAAGTCAGAAAATTAGGCAGCTGATTTCAAGAGCATAATTAAGTACTGGAAACAGCAGGTCACGTGAGTGACAAATAGCCTCATCTTACCTGCTTTTTCCTCTTGGCCAGCACTTTGTTCTCAAAAATTTAGTATTATAGAGCTTTGATGAATTATAATTATTTTTTTAAAAAATTTAAAAAAAATGAAATTATAAAGATGAACAACCTTAGCAAAACCCAAGTTTAGCACTTTTACCAGAGCCCCCAAATCCTCCCAAATATGTTTGTGATCAATTCCCACTTATGTAGCCCAAGCTCTTGAAAACATTGATTTGCTTTCTGTTTTGGTAATCTTGCACTGCTGTTCATCTTACATAAATGGGGTTGCACCATTGGTAGTTTCTGGCTCTGGCTTCTTTTCCTTATGTAAAAGGTTATTCGTAGTTTACTTACGTCATAGTTTTACTTATGTCGAAGGTTATTCATAGTTTAGCATGTATCAGTGTTTTCATTTCTTTCCTTGTTAAGAACTATTCCACTGGGGCCTGGAGCAATGGTTGAGTGGTTAAGAGCACTGGCTGCTCTTGCAGAGAACCCCTGTTCGATTCCCAGCACCCACATGGTGCTGGCAATTACAAGGGATCAGACGCCCTCTTCTGACCTCTGTGAGCATTGTATGACACAGGTGCACTTACATACATGCAGGCATACACTCATACATATAAAATAAAAAAAATAAATAAAAGGGTTTTTTAAAAAAGAATTATCCTATTATAAGCATATACCATATTCTTTACATGCATTCACCAGGTCTAAGAAACTTAAATTGTTTCCGGTTTGGATTATTAATGCTGCTATGAATTTTTGCTCAGCTCTTTGCACATGTTTTATTGTTCAGACAGGTACTTAAGAGTAGGTCCTTTGCTAATGTCTATATATAATGTTTAAAGAAGCTGATAAACTCCTTTGCGAATGGATGGGCCAGTTTATATTTCTGTGAGGGTGCCGTTTTTCGTGCACATACTCCATGTACTCGGCATTGCCTTTCTTTTTATTTATAGCCATTCATGTTGGTAGTGGAAATAACTTCTTGTGGTTTTGGTTTCCCAGACGCTTAGTGATGGTACTTGTAATGTACTTGTTACCTGTTCATATGCTGTTTTGTTTATTTTTAATTGAGATGTCTTATTATTATTGAACATTAAGAGTTCTCTTTATTCTGGAGAAAGAATAGCCAATGAATACAGGAGTGTAGTTGGATAGGAGGAATACTTTTACATTCTATCACACAGAAGGATACTATTTGCTAATGATAATTCATCAATATCTCAAAGGATTTTGAATGTTCCCAACACACACAAAAAGTTTGTGTCTGAGATAATATCATGATCCGATTGGTACATTTGTGTTGAAATGTCATATACGCAGTACTCAATTACTATGAGTCAAGTAAAATATAAATATATTTAAAAGATACTTCTCTTTATCCCAGATGCAATTCCAGTCCCTAACAGCTGAACTGATTAGCAAGTGCTTTTCCCACGTTGTAACTTTTCCCTGTCTCCCTCCCTTGCATTCTTTCTTCTATTCTTTCTTTTTTTCTATGTTCCTGTGTCCCCAGTCTAGCCTGTTCTCAAACTCTTCATCCTCCTGTCTCAGCCTCTCAA